ACTGGGGTTCAAGGAGACAGAAGCAGACATAGAAAAACAAGCAGAGGTATAAAGGAATCCCATCCAGGAAACACAAAACCAGGTGAATGAGCCCATAATGCAGTTCCCCTCTCTCTAATCCCATTTCCTGTCTGCCTAATAAAAAAAAAGACCAAATAAAGGCCACTAGAGCCTAAATAATAATGTATTAAAACTCTTAATAGTATTTGAAAGTTCATGTTAGCTCAAAACCCGCATCCTATTAAATAAATTTAAAATAAACCATTTTCCAGCTCAGGAGAGTAGGTAAGGTGAATGTTTTTAGCCTCAGAAAAAAGGCCTGAACCTGCTGGAGGTTTCTTCCTGTTCAAAGGGAGTTTTTCCTCCCCACTGTCGCTACAAGCATGCTTAGTGTGAGAGATTGTCTTCAAGTCAATGATTCGATGCAATCACCTGGTTTTCCTTAGATAGAAAACTTTGAATCAATTTGACAGGATGATCTGGTGAACTGTAAAGTGCCATGAGAGGATGTGTGTTGTGAATTGGCGCTATAGAAATAAACTGATTAGAATTTAATTGTGCAGTATTTCAAACCAGAACAGATAGAGAATGTTTGTGAAGCCACGTTGTCCGACGAAGTCACGTTCCAACTCGCGTTTCCGGTTTCAAACTCAAAAGATTTATTTCCTCCAAAAAATGCAAAATAAAACGGTACAAAAAATGAAAAATGTTTATAAACTAATCTTTTAACTTATATTCATGTTCTTAATTCTTTAGACCTAAAACTGCGGTCAGAAAAGGTGAAGCTCTGTCACATCAAACACCTAGTGGCTTGCTTCCTGAACGTGCCTGACGTGCCAGACCTTCCAACTCAGAAATTACCTACAACATAGATCGCTATTGCCACCTAGAGGCAACTAGTGGTAATACACGTATTCAATCTTGTCAATTCTGGCCCTTACAATGTTCATATGTCTATATTTAAAAGATAATGAGATCTACGTCTAAAGAAAGGAAGAAGAGCAATAAATGCTGTGGGGGGGGGTTTCTATGCTGACTGAGGCAGAGCGGTGATTCTCAGAGAGATCTGGGAAGTTTATCCAAGCTTTCTTTTTTATAGAGCTTAGCTGCTCTGTCTGCCCCTCCTTATTTTGTTTTTGTTGAGAGTCAAATGACTATTTCTGCTTTTTCTCCTCCTGAACTTATTTTATTTTTGAGGAGATTGATGAACTACGCTTTGAATTTGCACGAGTCAGTCCCCCTTATGATATACGTGATGTGTGACTTGAAAAGTGACTTGTACCCGTGCGATTAACAGATCTTATTTTGTATTTTCCCCCAAAGCGGATGCTGGTGAAGATTCTCAGTCATTCAGGTCATATTCAAGTTAAAAATCAAGTTTGTTTCCAAGTTTAAAGACGTTTCACTTCCCATCCAGGAAGATTTTCCACTCAAAATGTCAATTTGAGTGTTTTATAAACAAAAACCAGGCTTTGTAGGGCTGCTGTATAAAGCCTTGAACTCAACGCTATTTCTGACGTATTGAATTGAAAAAGCTTCCTGGATGGGAAGAGAAACGTCTTCAAATTTAGAAACAAAGACCAGTGGATTGTTTTG